TCAACACAGAAAATGGAAAATATAAAGGAGGTGAATCTAGCCTGGTGAAATAAAGGAGGTGAATCTAGCTAGCAGTGAATCTAGCTACGAATCTAGCTTGCAAATTGTGTAGTATAGTTACGAGTTTTAAAGTTTATTTTTAGTCAAAAAAGCAGTTTGTTTGGAATGTGTAGATCGTAGTGATGTAGTTATGAACTTTCAAATGAAAAAAAGTTTTAAAGTTTACTTTTAGTCAAGAAAGTAGTTCGTTGGAATGTGTAGATCGTAGTGATGTAGTTATGAACTTTAAATTGGAAAAAACACGTCGAAAGTACTAGATAGAATGTGTAAGCTTTCAAAAAACAGAAACACCAATTAACAATCAATTGCAATGTCAACACAGAAAATGGAAAATATAAAGGAGGTGAATCTAGCCTTGTGAAATAAAGGAGGTGAATTTAGCTAGCGAATTGTATTTGTATAGTTACGAGTTTTAAAGTTTATTTTTAGTCACAAAAGCAATTTGTTTGAAATTTGTAGATCGAAATTTCAAATGTAAAAAACACGTTGAAAATATTAGAAAAAATATGAAAGCTTTCCAAAAGCAGAATTTTCAATGAACAATCAATTGCAATGTCAACACAGAAAATGGAAAATATAAAGGAGGTGAATCTAGCCTGGTGAAATAAAGGAGGTGAATTTAGCTAACAAATTGTATTTGTATAGTTACGAGTTTTAAAGTTTATTTTTAGTTACAAAATCAATTTTTCTGGAATGTGTGGATCGCAGTTAAGGTACTTCATGCTATTTCATTTATAAGTGTAATTAGAATAAAGACGTGTGTTTAGATGTTACACAAAATGGAAACTTACAAACTAGCACAAAAATTTTGTTTCAACTTGTATTACACAAGTTATAGGATTGTAAACATTCGTATCAAAACACTTCAAGTAATTTCAAAATTTTTGAGTAAGTACTCTCAAAATCTTCTTTTTTTTTGAAAATGTTGTTTGTTAATTAAAGAACAAAAACAAGCAAATTCTATTGTTGGTAATTAGGCATGTACAGGAAACGATAAGAAAGATATAACCCTTTCATATAATACAATGAATCACGAAATTATTTAAGTTATGAACATTCATTCAAGCCGAAACACGTTGTAATTACTTAGCAAATTATCCAAAAGTAGATAAAATTTGAGAACTTTCAAATGACGGGATCTTCAGTCGCCAATCAACTTCAATTTTAATAAAATTATTCTTTGATAAACATTTTAACTACAGCAATCAAACTCTATTAAATCAAAATGTGTTTTAAAGTTTATTTTTGTCAAAAAGGCAATTTGCTCGAAATGTATAGTTCGTAGAGATGCTACTTAAAGTTAACTTTTTAAACGTTTATTGTATATGAAAAAGAAAAACTTATCACTGTAAATCTAATTAAAATAAAGACGTGTTTATAGATGACACACAAACCGAAAATTTGAAATATTTGCAAAGATTAGTATTAAGTTGTACAGTATCAAAAATTATATGAATCTACACCTTCTAATCAGAAGTACAAATGACTTCAAATTCTTATATAACTAGCTCAAACTTACTCTTTTTTAAATAAATTCATTTTATCTCTTTTGAATCTAATTATACTCTTCCACTTTTTTAATAGTTAGCTTACAATAATCATGGTTTCAGATTTAGATATAAACAGTGATGACGATTTTGAGTCAGATTATGAGTCAGATATTTGTGACCGTGATGATGAACAAGCAATAACAACATCAAGTTCAGCTCTTCAAAGTACACATCAACCAACTATCTCAGCAAATTCAATTGATCAAATAAAAAATCGATCATCCATCTTAACACCAACTAATATCTCAGTTTCAAATTCCAATACTTCAGCTGCACCTATCAGTGAATCAACTGTTTTAGATCAAACCAATAGTCCCAACATCTCAACAATTAATATAAACGAAAATCAACTGGAACAGATTGGAGATGCAAGTGTATCTTCTAATACGCATAGCAATGCTTTAGGTGGTGACTTTGAATCATCAGACCCCGTTATAAGCAGTGATCAGACTTCTCGTGAAGAAATGAATTCGAATACAAATGAAGAAGATGAAGAAGATGAAGAAGATGAAGAAGCTGAAGAAGATGAAGAACAAGAAGTACATGAAGAACATGAAGAACAAGATGGGTCACAAGTTGTGTTTTTAACAAATGGTATGATTTATGTTGATGGTTTTGTAGTGCACGAGGATAAGGTCATAGATCCATATCTGATGAATTTTTGGAGGCTTTATGAAACAACATTTCGTGAAATTGCAAATAGGCATCTAAGATTGGTTCGGGTGAGTGATTATGTAGATTCAAGGGTGATAAGAGTGCACAATGAAACACTATTCCAGTATGTTCAACAAAACACTGTGTATGCAAGATATGTTGGAGATACATTAAGTTTTCTGGAATATAATTCACACAATGCCGTGAAATTAACAGGTGTTAAGGTATATATCACAACTGGAATTTGTGCATTGATTGTTTTTGGTCCAGTAGAACCACAAGTGTTTAGGTTTCCAGATGAGGAAGAGAATCAGGTTCTATTACGTGAATAAATTCTAGTTATGAATTCTAGTTATGAATTTTGAAATGAACCTAAGAATGGACGATATTAAGTATTAGTTTATTTTCTTCATTTTGTTTGTGTAAGTTATTTTGGACTTAGTTATCATTTTGTTTATAGATTTAGTTTCTGATTTAACTATTATTCTAGTTATTGTTCTACTTAATGTGTCAGTTATTATTCTAGTAATTGTTTCAGTTATTATTTTAGTTTAAATTTAGATTTGTTCTACTAGTTATTTTTTACTTATTGTTTTCGTTACTGTTTTAGATAATGTTTTTGTTACTGATTTAGATACTGTTTTAGTTATTAATTCAGTTGTTAATTTGGTTATTAATTTGGTTCCAGTTATTATTCTAGTTAGGATTTCAGTTATAAAAGCGGTAATAGATTCTAGTTATGCAATGTAATATGAAATCCCACAATTATTTGGTTCTATTTGTTTGTGGAAAACGTTTTGGAACTGAGTTATGTAATTAGTTATTGATTTAATTATGAATTTGATTATTGATTTAGTTATTATTCTAGTAATTATTCAAGTAATAATTCTAGTAATAATTATAGTAATAAATTTTGTTATTTATTTAGTTATTGATTTACTATACGAGATTCAGTTAATGTTTCAGTTATTATTTTAAATTTTTGGATGCTTCTGCTAATTGACTTTATTAGTTTAGGTTAATAGTTTGCTTTAGTTTACTTTTGTCGAACTTGGTAGTTTATTTAAATAGGTTAAACTTCGTTTGATACTTGAGTTGGTTATTTGACTTTAATAGTTGACTTTATGTGCTGATTTTAAAAGCTGATTTTGATAGATAATTTAATTAGTTGATTTTGATAGTTGAATTAGCTGATATTGATTCTTTACTGTCTTTGATAGTTGAGTTTGTGAATTGGCTCTAATAGTTTGTTAGTTGCCTCTAGTTGATTTGCTGAACTAGATAATGATTTTGTTAAATAGATTGACTTCGAAAGTTGACTTTGATAATTCAGTTTATATGTTTAATGTGTAAGTATACTTTGTCAGTATGATTTGTTAGATGACTTTGATACTTTACCTTTGATAGTTTACTTTCTTAGAAGACTCGAATTTGATGGTTGAACTTGATACTTAACTTTGATGGTAACCTTTGATAGTTTTTGGTTGTTGACGCTAGTTGATCTTGGTAGATTATATTAGTTGAGTCTGATATTTGTCTTTAGTTGACTTTGAATAGTTTAATTTCTTANTTTGACTTTTTGTTAACTTTGATAGTTGATCTTATTGAATTTGATAGTTGACTCTGATAGAATACTTTCTTAGTCGACTTTGGTAGTTTATTTTATTAGTAACTTGATAGTTGACTTTTAAAGTTGAATAAGCTAACTTTGTTAGTTGACCTTGATAGTTTAGTCTGATAGTTGACTTTGATAGTTTGATACGTTACTTTTACAAGGGATCTTGAAAGTCGATTTTGATAGTTGACTTGGATTATCTTTGTTAGTTGCTCTTAATAGTTTTGATAGTTTAATTTACCAGTTGACTTTATTAGTCGAGCTTACTTTGATAGTTTACTTTCTTAGTTGACTTTGATAGTTGTCTTGATTAGTTGAGTGTTTTATTTTGATGGTTTACCTTGGTGGTTCTATTTAATGGTAGACTTTAGTTGATTTTATTCTACTTGAATAATATACTTTTTTTGTTAGTTTTGATAGTTACGTTAACTTTGTTGATTGACTTTAGTAGTAGTCTTTAGTTGACTCTAGTTGATTTCGTTAGTTGAATTTGGTACCCTACTTTAATAGTTAATTGATGACTTGAGTTGACTTTGATAGTTGACCTGTATATTAAGTTTAGATTTTATTTTTTCTGTTGAAAACGAGAGTACTGTATATTAGATTTGAATTTATTAAATAAGTAGTTAAGGAGGTTTAGGTATTCTAGTAATTGAAATAGTGGAAAGAGTTAATGAAACTACTAAAGTAACTACTTTTATTGCTTATTATGATTGATAGTAGTGATTAAAATGACTTTAAGTTGTAAAAGTACGATTATTAGCAGTTTATTGTATTTTACTTAAATTAATAGTATTTGGTAATATATTAAACTGAAAATAAAAATTATACTAAGTAATTCTAGTAAAATTAGATCGATTGATAATAAAATGTTAAAAAATATAGTTTTACTGATTAAAAGAGAAATAGAACTTATTATAGAGTGTATATATGATCTAATAGTGTAAGGTGTATAGTTGGAATTGGCTGGTTTGATGAAAAAAGTATAGTAATTGGTTTATACTAGTATATTACTATATTATAGTTAAGTATACGATAAATACGAGATTTTCGTAAATTATTTTTTTATCGAATCTAATGTGAAGTTGAAAATAGTATAACTAGTGTACGTTTTCTTAGAGGTTATTTATCTTTAAGATTTGTTATTGTAATCTTACTACTAAGGAGAAGGGCTTTTTGTTGAGATTTGTAAGATTATTGACTTTGATAGTTGACTTTGTTGAGTTTAATAGTTTAGTTTGATAGTTGACTTTGATAGTTGACTTTGTTGAGTTTAATAGTTTAGTTTGATAGTTGACTTTGATAGTTGACTTTGATAGTTGACTTTGTTGAGTCTAATAGTTTAGTTTGTTAGTTGATTTTAATAGGCTGTTCTTGATTTTGATAGTTTCCTTTCTTAGTTTTGATAGTTTACTAGTTTATTTTGATAGTTGATTTTCTTGGTTGACTTTAATAGCTAATCTTGTTGAATATGATAGTTGACGTTTTTGTCTGATAGTTTACTTTCTTAGCTGATTTTATTAGTGTACTTTGATAGTTTACTTTGAAAGTTGACTTGGATAATTGATTTTGTTAGATGACTTGAATGAATGGTTGACGTTGATAGTTGACTTTAATAGTTAAATTTGTTTGATATTTGTATTTTTTAATTGACTTTAGTTGACTTTGATACTTGACTTTAATTGACTTTTGTTGATCTTGGTAGACGACTTTGTTGGATAGCTTACTTTGATATTTTACTTCCTTAGTTGACTTTGATAGTTGTCTTAATGAGTTGAGTTTGAAAATTTACTTTGATAGTTTATTCTGACCTTGATATTTGAGTTTAATAGTTTACCTTAATTGACTTTGTTAGTTGGTTTTAGTTGACTTTCTTTGTTGATTTTGATAGTTGAGCTTGTTGGATAGTTGACTTAGATAGTTGATCTTGTTGTGCTTGGTAGTTTAATTTGTTAGTTGACTTATAATGAGTTCGATACTTGACTTATGAGGTACGTAATGTTCTTGAGATTTTGATCTGAACTAGATTTAAGATGACGGACTTAAAAAAAGTTGAAGTTTCTTTGGGGCGAGAAAAGAGGTCGAGAATTTCCTTAATTCGTTTTCTTTAAGGCGACCCGGTTTTAGGTCGACCTAATTTTAGATTAGGTACGTAAGTGTTTACTGTTAGTGTTGGATTAGGTACGTAAGTGTTTAGGTACGTAAGTGTTTACTGTTAGTGTTAAAGACTGATTTTGAAAGTGTTGTGTTTTGGCTTTTAAGGTACTTGAAGTTTTTGACTTTCTTGGGTTGACTTATAGATTTTAAGGTGATAGACTGAAAAAGATAGAGGTTTTAAGGGCGAGAAAGAAGTTGAGGTAAGGAGGTGTTTACTGTTGATTTTGTTGACTTTCTTTGAAGGTGTTGAGTGAAGACTTTGAAGTACTTAAGATTTTGAAAGCTTTGGATTTGATTTGTAGATTTAAGGTGATGTATTGAGAAAGAGTTGCTGATTTCGGGAGATTTAGCTTACTCGAACTGTACGAGTTTTGTATTGCGGTTGAGATCTAGTTTACTTCGAACCGTATTTTGAGGGACGAATTTAGTATTGAGGTAGAGATGTATATTGGTGGATCTGAAGACGTGCTTAGTGTTTGCTGTAGACCTGTTTAAGAGTATAACGTTAAAGAGGAGATTTGATGTTGTGTGATTCTTTAGCGTGTGCC